TAGCAACATGGTTGTCAACATGCTGAATCAAATACACAGCACCTCGAAAAGGAATGCTTGATGAAGACTACTACTCCCCGTTCCCCAAAATCAAACAATACAGAAGTATCTGACGCCTCTCGGGAACAAGCACCCTAAGGCAAACCCAAGCAACAGCAAGTTGAAGTTGAAGCAAAGAAATCGTGCATCCGCAGATATTTCCTGGCAAGACTGACTACACTTGGCCAGCGAAGTCAGGGAATGTCGAGATAAGTCGAAATTGAGGGGAAAAGTGGCTTTCTTTCAGCAAGGAGGCGAGCTACACCATTTCTTTACTACTTTTTTTGAAACAAAGTGGGCCGTCAGATGTCAGACAGTATTCGCCGCGACGGGGGGGACCCCGAGGCATCGAACCAGGGAGGACCGCAACACATTATAAAAGCACTACCACGGCAGCCTTATCTCCCGCGATGCTGATCAGGTTTCTTCGCCCGGCAGGAAAAAAATATCCGCCTGCCTCCAGGGCAAAGTTGAGGGCGACTCCTGAATTCCTGGCCCATGTGGAGCCACAAGCTGAGAGTTACCGTCAGGGACAGAAGGGACTACCGATGCGACTCGCCCGAAAATTGACAGAAAGAACAAGAAGCGCCTTAAAAACCGTCGCAAGTGGTCCATATCCAATGCAGGTCTCTCCAGCTGGTCGTAATTGACTGGCAACTGCTCTGGAAATCTCGTATAAGTCTCTCTGATAAGCAAGCTGCGAGATCGGCAAAAAACAACGCACATCTTCAAACTCTGCAATGATTCCAACTACATCATGGTGAGCTCGCTTTATACCCCAAAGCGGTGGGCTCACCCAAAACATAGGACTCTGGGAATGAGTGCTGAACACCTGCCATGAAGCATGATGCGCTCAATGGCTCAATGATTGCCACGTTCTGCTTGAGTGGTCCCGCCTGCTACTCCCTGCATTCCCAGTCTTTGCGCCAATGAGTGTGCAGAAAGCAATTCAGAGCTCCCAAAGCAATGCTAAGGTGAGGCCATCGCGAGAAAGCTACCCTTTGTACATTGTATGCTGCCGTTCCAGTCAATCCTGGGCTCCCATTATTTTCCTACGGGCGACCAGCATCTCTCCAATCTACCAGAACTTGCCACGGGCGCTTCGTCCGGCTCCGGCTGAGCCATGTGGAAGAAAGCGCGTCCGAGTGCATCTTGTTCAAGAACCGTAAATCAAAGCTAAGCAAGAGACACACAAATCAAACAACCGCCAGAAGTATGCCCTAGGACTCCGTTTGTTCAATGCGGCCGGCACAGCGCTGCTTCTCATGCCCGCAAATTGTCACGGTGTCCTTCTGGTAGTTTCCCAGTTAACCTGGCAGGTGTTTGGGCCGGTTTGGCAAGCTACTTCAACTTGTCAACTGTAAGACGCAGGCTACCCTTTGCATTCGCCCTCTTCGGCCCTGCCTGAGCCTGAAGGGAACATATGAGGCTCCCCGTCGGCCATGGCGCTTTGCGCGGATGGCATAGGGTAAACCCAAAGGATCCCTCTGAGCCTTGTAGCTGCGGAGCGAATGACTCCCTGCAACGGTGAGGAACATCAATTGACCCGTTCCACGGGTTGCGATGGGGTTCCAATCGGATGCGAAACCGCCACCCTGGTCCTTTGGTGCAACCTGGAACCCCCTTTAATGGAACCCGTTAAATGGGTCCCCTGAATCAATAGCGTATAGATCGCTGAGGCTTCCTCGTGATTTCGTTTGGCTGCCATTGACAATGAATACACCCAGGCACAGCGAGAGGTTTATCTTTTCATGAATCCCCACACACAATACACAGCTGTGAGCAGCTAATTGGACTTACTGAAACGAACACGCGGCTTTCTGAACTTCGATTTGGACCAAGCAGTGGGAACAGCTGTGCACTTGAAAGCGCGAACGAACTCGACGGCAACACCTGGGGAGATACAGGCCTTAAAAAACCTCGAGTGGTTCGCAGGCAGATGGGGTCTGTGTTGTAGGATATACAGTTTTGGGGCGCTGCTCATGGGAGACACACTCAATTGCGCACAAGAGATGATTCAATGATGGATGAGTCAGTTTTCATGGTTGGATCGCATGGAGCTCGTAGAAGAAACATACTACGCGCCCTGTACTCAACGGCAAATTCAAGAACATCAGTGTCAAGGAGCCCCGAATGGGGTACACGACGCAGTTCGCCAAGCCATCCCTTCCACACTTGCAAATGGAACTGAGCAGGTCCCAAATCCCATTGACTTTAGCTTCTACCGAAAAAGTCGTGAGGGTTTATGTCCCCTTTGCTCTACTCCCGTTCCTCAGCTGGGTAGAAGAACCCTGCCCTGAAGTGTCCAGTACTGGGCTGGTGGTGCAAAAAGAAGCCGGTGTGCGTCAAACAGTTCTTCCCCAAAATAAACAAAAGGTCGGATCAAACAGTCAATTTTTTGAGGACCCCAGGTACCTCAAGCAGTACCCCAAACAAAAACGCACCCCGCACCCTTTGAGTCCTGGTTGGCGCCTTGCAGCACTTCGATACTCCGCAGCACCTCACAGATTTGAGCAGAGCCTTGCAGATTAATGCATGGACCCCAAAAAAAATGAAGGTCCCCTCTCTGAAACGGCACTCCCACTCGTCAGCTGGAGGGTTGAATCCTGGGTTTCCATTGGTGACTTCGAACTCACCGGGAGAGATGTCCATTCAATAGTTGGCACCTAGCGAAGCAAAATGCTGAGTTTATGAGGATTTCGCCAAGGCGTCGCAGTTGCAGAAAGCATACAGCGGAAAAGAATCTGCATGTGCCCGTTGGGCGCGATTTTCGCAAAAAAAAAAAAAAGAGTAGATGGTTGATTCCCACCGTGACAATGCTGTCACTGCCCTCCTTTGCGCCCATGCTCCTGACCCTGCCTCCGATGCCGCTTCCACGATGCGAAAGCCATCCGCGTGAAAACACGGAACCAGCAAAGGTCCAAAGGCGCAACCACGTATTGCAGGGGGGAATGCCCCTGTATCTGACGAAGGCCTATATAGGCGCATGATGACCATGTTCCAAAAGGGATACCAGGAGGATGTTAGGGGAACCTGCGCAGTGGCGCGTGGTAAATGCCCTAGACAATGAAGGTGTTGTTCTACTTCTCTCATGGGACAATTGACCATGCACGGTCCAACAGACATTGAGCGATCTTACACATTCATGTTGTTCAAAATCGGACAATCGTTTAAACAGACAACAAAAACACTTTTGCAGTTGAATCCAGAAAACGTGTACAATCACACCCGCCACTAGTCTGTGGGCATTTTGGGGAACACTCCACACTTGGGCGGTTCAACTACGCCTTAACAATGCGTGGCTTCCTATTGGCTGCCTTTCAAACAGCCTAATAGAGGGACCCCCAAAATGGCGAGTTTCACTTTGGAACCAAAACACACCCAACACGACTGCACCCTCCAAAACTCTTTCCGCCAACGTTTTCTCCCGAAATGTGTCCGCGCGATACCCACCTCGTCGATGCGGCCCCGGCTGTGGCAGATCAGCCGCACCGAGTGCTCGTACAAGGCATCCACCAGGTTGGTGAAGCGCCGCGCCTCGTTGTGCTCCTGTCGCGCATCGCAAGGCGAAGGACTCACCTAATTACCAAAAACATGGGTGTTGTGTAAAAGGGAGCCCTCCCACCGGGAGCTTGGGGTTGCAAGAGAACGGATATAAACCTGTTTGGAGGGGAATGGGTACTTTTTGCACAGGAGACTTCACACAGTCGTGAAGCACGGCGTGGATGAAAAAGTCCAACCAGACAGATTAGGCTCAGAATGGGCATGATATGTTGGCACCAAACGCTTGACTTGTCAAACATGGCTCTGCAAAGACTGAGAAAAGTCTCCACCCCGAGTTAGGCTCCTCCAGTGAGAGTCGGGGCACATCGTGGAGGAACACGGTGTGGAAGGTCCTGGGAGAAACACTGTGATGGACAGTTGGGATGGATGAAATCCTATGAATACCTATAAAACCACACAAAAAACAGCAGTTGGGTGCCCGGTTGTGGAACAAAACCCTTTCTGCGCAGCAAAAGTAGTTTGCGGCAGCGTGAGGCAAAGCTTTGCGCATGGCATGGCAGCCTTGCAACCCACCAGCAGAGTGGTTCAGAAATATTGCCCTTCCCATACGTAATCCTATGAATGGCTTCACCCACATGCACAAATTGACCAAAAGCAACCATTTGCGCGCATCCCCACAGAAGGTTAGCGTGCTCCAAAACGCTACTGCTATGACATAGTCTTCGCACACCTGCCTGTCAGCGCTTACTGGGTCCAGTAAAGTGACATCCTGAAAGTCACCCTTTATGCGGCGTAAAGGCAACCAAAACCCCTCCTCAAGATGCTCACTTTAAGGGACCCAGTTCTGTGACGGCAGGGTAGTCTGCACGTCCAGAACCGTCTTGTTGACTTCGCCGGCCGAGCTGCGTGGCAAGGATCAGAAAGTCTTCCGCGGCGAGTGGCCTCCACATGCTCGAGAGCAAGCCATGCTGCAGGAAGCAATGTTGACTCAACCCCTGCATCAATACGTGGGTGTCCGATTCAAGAGAAAATCAAGCCATACGATCGTGTAAATTGGCACTCGGCTGAACATCTGTTAGGGGGCTGTTGCAGAAACGTTTGAATCTGAGCCGCATGATGGGAGTGCTTGGCTGGGCTCCAATCAAGGAAAGTCACCAACAAAGCACTGCCGCATTGAGCACCCGCTTCAAGCGATGCCCTAGTTTTGCTGCACAAAATCGAACAAGAGCCCCAACAGCAACCGGCGGGGAACCCAAACCCACACCTGCTTCAGTCCACTCCGGATCTTATCAGGTCCACTTCTCTGGGCAAAGTCGCCATAGCTTTCAGCTGTGGGGAAACACACCAATTTCCAGGGAATCTCCTTTGTGGGGAATTTTGGTTTGGCCCTCCACTTTTAGGTTCCGTGAATATCTGCGCGTAAGAACGCCGGGCACTCCTTGCCTTCTGCACAGGTCATCAAAATGGAAGCGCGCACAGCCATCGCCTGACGACAGAAATGGGTGCGAACCGACAAAGCCCGTCGCGATGAATCAAGAACACCTGACTCAGCCCCGTTTCCAAGACAACTCACCAACTAACTCGATCTGCCTTTCCTGTTTAGATGTTCTCAAAACCAGTCATCCCTTTGGGATTACAAGGATTCCTTGAGCCTTGTCTCAACGAAGACAGCTTCAAGACTTTGACCTCCCTGACTTGTTTGACCCTCCGAAGCGATTGGCTGTTGCAGTGCTGAAAGGATGCAGCCAACAAATCACTTGACGAGGATCCTCTGAACCTGGAACTCCCTGAGTTCGGTTCAGGTTCACCCAACCGGCACAACCCGTCGACCCGAACGACTGGCCTTGGCCGGGCACCACCAGCTGCCGGCCCCAGGAGATCTTCAAAGTCCCCGGCGCCAGCTGGAGACCCAAGGCCTACCAAAAAACGAAAGGAGTGCCGTTTGTACGTATCTATCTACACAGAAAAATAGAGAGCAAATAGGTAGCGTGTATAAGATATATAATATACGTACATGTGTGTTTGCGAGGGTACCTGCTCCATTTCAAGACATACTACAGGAATTCAGCTAACCACGAACCACGGCATGTTGTCAACCGTGTGCTGCATTTGCGGTGCTTCAAAATGCGAGGCTGCTTGCTGGATATGCAAAGCTATGTTTGTCTATTTGGTCGTTGGACACTAATCTCCCTGCAGATGACGTCCATCAAAGTCCACTTCCAATGAACATCCATACCCCTAAGTTCCATCCAAGCCAATCAACAACCACTGCGGTGCTGCGCTCTGCTTCCAGCAGCCTGCCTGCTGGACCTCCTCTGGTTTGCCCTCCTCAAAGAACACCTGCTCACCTCAGCGGCTGACGCAAGCTGCACCTTCGGCTCAGATAGCATCTTCAAACAAATCCCCCGCTGCTCACTAATTCATCATGTGCAAGCAAACCTGAAGGTTCGTAAACATGGGGATAAACCACCTACCACTTGCTGCAAGTGGATTTTGTCCACAGCATGGCGGAGGTCAAAGAGCTGCCAAGTCGCTCGGCTTCCGCTGCGCCTCTGCACGTTCGGCGTCTGCCCGGTGCATGCGGGCGCGGTAGTCTGCGCCCAGCACACCTCTCGGATACGCCCCAAGTAGGGGCTCTTGCCGTCACAAAGTGGTACCGCATTCAAACGCATCAAGCGCCTGAGAGCAAAACTCTGTCGCAAGACAATCATGACCTTTTCGAAATGAACTGCCCAAATGACAAGCAAGCCCGTAAGAGCCTCATAGAATTCAGCAAGCAATTTCCGGGTGCACCGAACTCAAATACTAGCAAACTCCCAGTCAGCAATGTCTGATGCGGGCTAAAATGAGCGTGGGGATAAATCTGGCCGGGGTACTTGTCCAACAAAATGGCGCTCTTTGGGGCCCCGGGACCTGTCAATGACATCTAAATATTTTATTCTAACATTCGCCCTACCCAAAACTTGTTGATTGAACTGTCACGTTGTTTCATTGATTTTGGGGACCAAGTCTGTTGTTATTTTTGTCTCAGATCCATGGGTGGTGGACTCTCGTTAGCGGCCTAGCGTTCTGCGTGCGACGCCCCCTTTTTTTCGCAACGGCTCTGCTTGCATTTCACAATCTGGATGTGTCTCTATAAATGGTGCGAAACCCCCCGAAATGAGTGGTTTTCCTTTGGTTTCCTGTTAACACAACCTCAAACCGGGCAACATGACACACCCGTCCATACTGTCGGCGTCTCTCACAAACATGCGCTACTAGCCTCCTATTTCCGGGCAAACCGCATTTGTTGCAGCTTTACCTGGCGCTGGATGGCATAAAACTGGAAAACGTATGGAAACTACGGAAAGATCATCCATATTGTTGGATCTTTGAAAATGGATGCTGGACAAAAGCCCCGCAGCGTCTTCCGTTGTAGCTCTGTCGCCTCGTTTGGGTGACTCACCCACGATGAAATCCAGCCGCTGGCCGTCAGTGACTTGGGATTCGGCTGAGGTCTGGTAACTGACACATAACTTGTTCCGATGTTGTTCCCTACTGAAAAATATCGGCCCAACACCGGGATTGAAGCTCCTTCTGAAACGAAATGGGCTTAGGAACCCTCTGACCAAGCCAGGTGACAACTGGAAAGAAGCAGTGCCCTGCACATCTTAAAAACCATGCTTCAGGCAGACCTTCAAAGGAACTCGGCCCTGCGAGGCTCACTGCTTTGGCCCTCCCATCTCTTGAGGAAGGGGACTGATCAGGGCCCATTCATCCACGACTCCGCTGCCTCTGCTCAAACCACCACGCGGCTTTCTCTCCAAAAGATTTTTTCAAAAAAAAATGGGTATCCTCAAAATGTGCAACGCTCTGAAAGAAAGACCTTTGGCAAGCATCGCTAGGAGCAAAGAAAACCTTGGAGGGTGCAGGCATGAGTTGCACTGTCCACAGAAGGATGGCATCTCGCGGCCGCAAACATCCACTTCGAAGCACGAGTACTTGAAGGTTTGCCCGCAGTCTGGATTCCCGCAGGACTTTGTAGCCTGATCAGGGGGTAAGGGGAACTCACGCGTATTCCATGCGGTTTCCCAGAGCAAGTAGTGGGGAGGTTTCAAATCGTTGCTGGTTCTCAGTAAAAGGGTGAGGGAATGATCCCCTATGAACCATCCCTTGCGGTATCTTTGAGGATCCCCAGGTTCATTCCAAGTACCCTCAAACAATTCCCGACTCAGAACAATACTTCCAAGGATCCCCCGACAGCCTGCTAAAATCCCTCACGCAACCTGCCCAAAGCTCTGTTTTTGCGTTTCTGAATCCACGCGCAAGTGAGCAGCACCCTGCCCAGTTCACCCGTTGATTTCTAGTTCATTTGTCTGGTTGAAATACGCCTCGTTGAAACCCGTGGTTCTCATTTTGACAACCACCCATGTACGACCCCTCTCGTGCTTTTCCCAAGGTCTCCTGGGAGGATAAAGACTTCGCATTGCAGTCTTCACCTGAGCCCATCGGAAAAATTGACAAGGGCACCCTGACCGTCACCAAATGGGTGTGTGTTATCGTATGGTACCGGTGCGTTGAAACGGAACCTAATGTCGGTTTTCTCATTTGCCCAGGCGCACAGCACAAATTGACCCCGCGCGATGTAGTCCCCCCTGCCAATGTCTACGAACTTCCCACACTTCCCACGGCAGTGACCTGCGGTCACGCAGGGTAAAGCGCGCCCGGTCATGTGTGTGTGTGTGTGTGTGTGTGTGTGTGTGTGTGTGTGTGTGTGTGTGTGTGTGTGTGTGTGTGTGTGTGTGTGTGTGTGTGTGTGTGTGTGTGTGTGTGTGTGTGTGTGTGTGTGTGTGTGTGTGTGTGTGTGTGTGTGTGTGTGTGTGTGTGTGTGTGTGTGTGTGTGTGTGTGTGTGTGTGTGTGTGTGTGTGTGTGTGTGTGTGTGTGTGTGTGTGTGTGTGTGTGTGTGTGTGTGTGTGTGTGTGTGTGTGTGTGTGTGTGTGTGTGTGTGTGTGTGTGTGTGTGTGTGTGTGTGTGTGTGTGTGTGTGTGTGTGTGTGTGTGTGTGTGTGTGTGTGTGTGTGTGTGTGTGTGTGTGTGTGTGTGTGTGTGTGTGTGTGTGTGTGTGTGTGTGTGTGTGTGTGTGTGTGTGTGTGTGTGTGTGTGTGTGTGTGTGTGTGTGTGTGTGTGTGTGTGTGTGTGTGTGTTGGTGTGTTGGTGTGTTGGTGTGTTGGTGTGTGTGTTGGTGTGTTGGTGTGTTGGTGTGTTGGTGTGTTGGTGTGTTGGTGTGTTGTGTGTTGGTGTGTTGGTGTGTTGGTGTGTTGGTGTGTTGGTGTGTTGGTGTGTTGGTGTGTTGAAAGGGTTGCTGTGTTGCTGTGTTGCTGCGTTGCCGCGTTGCTGCGCTGCTGCGTTGCTGCGTTGCTGCGTTGGCGAGTTATTGCGTTGGTGCGTTGGTGGGTTGGTGGGTTGGTGACTTGGTGGGTTGGTGGGTTGGTGGGTTGGTGTGTTGGTGTGTTGGTGTGTTGGTGTGTTGGTGCATTGGTGTGTTGGTGTGTTGGTGTGTTGGTGTGTTGGTGTGTTGGTGTGTTGGTGCGTTGGTGTGTTGGTGTGTTGGTTGGTGCGTTGGTGCGTTGGTGCGTTGGTGCGTTGGTGCGTTGGTGCGTTGGTGCGTTGGTGTGTTGGTGTGTTGGTTGGTGCGTTGGTGCGTTGGTGCGTTGGTGCGTTGGTGCGTTGGTGCGTTGGTGCGTTGGTGTGTTGGTGTGTTGGTTGGTGCGTTGGTGCGTTGGTGCGTTGGTGCGTTGGTGCGTTGGTGCGTTGGTGCGTTGGTGTGTTGGTGTGTTGGTTGGTGCGTTGGTGCGTTGGTGCGTTGGTGCGTTGGTGCGTTGGTGCGTTGGTGCGTTGGTGTGTTGGTGTGTTGGTGCGTTGGTGTGTTGGTGTGTTGGTGCGTTGGTGCGTGGGTGTGTTGGTGTGTTGGTGCGTCGGTGCGTCGGTGCGTTGGTGCGTTGGTGCGTTGGTGCGTTGGTGCGTTGGTGCGTTGGTGCGTTGGTGCGTTGGTGCGTTGGTGCGATGGTGCGTTGGTGCGTTGGTGCGTTGGTGCGTTGGTGCGTTGGTGCGTTGGTGCGTTGGTGCGTTGGTGCGTTGGTGCGTTGGTGCGTTGGTGCGTTGGTGCGTTGGCGCGTTGGTGTGTTGGTGGGTTGGTGCGTTGGTGCGTCGGTGCGTTGGTGCGTTGGTGCGTCGGTGCGTTGGTGCGTTGGTGTGTTGGTGCGTTGGTGGTTTGGTGCGTTGGCACGTTGGCGCGCTGGTGCGCTGGTGCGTTGGTGCGTTGGTGCGTTGGTGCGTTGGTGCGTTGGTGCATTGGTGCGTTGGTGCGTTGGTGCGTTGGTGCGTTGCTGCGTTGCTGCGTTGCTGCGTTGGTGCGTTGGTGCGTTGGTGCGTTGGTGCGTTGCTGCGTTGGTGTGTTGGTGTGTTGGTGCGTTGGTGTGTGGGTGTGTTGGTGTGTTGGTGTGTTGGTCATTGGTGTGTTGGTGTGTTGATATGGAGGTGCGTTGGTGTGTTGGTGCGTTGGGGCGTTGGTGTGTTGGGGTGTTGGTGTGTTGGTGTGTTGGTGTGTCGGTGTGTTGTGTTGGTGCGTTGGTGTGTTGGTGTGTTGGTGTGTTGGTGCGTTGGTGTGTTGGTGTGTTGGCGTGTTGGTGTGTTGGTGTGGTGTGTTGGTGTGTTGGTGTGTTGGTGTGTTGGCGTGTTGGCGTGTTGGTGTGTGTGGGGTGTGTGTGTGTGGTGTGTGTGTGTGGTGTGTGTGTGTTGTGTCTGTTGTGTGTGTGTGTGTTGTGTTTGTGTGTTGTGTGTGTTGGGTGCGTTGTGTGTGTTGTGTGTGTTGGGTGTGTTGTGTGTGTGTTGTGTGTGTTGTGTGTGTGTTGTGTGTGTGTTGTGTGTGTTGTGTGTGTGTTGTGTGTGTGTGTTGTGTGTGTGGTGTGTGAGTGTTGTTTGTGTTGTGTGTGTGTTGTGTGTGTTGTGTGTGTTGTATCCGTGTGTTGTGTGTCTGTGTGTGGCTCTGTGTGTCTCTGTGTGTGTGTGTGTGTCTGTGTGTGTGTCTGTGTGTGTGTGTCTGTGTGTGTGTTTGTCTGTTTATGTTTGTGTGTTTTCTGTGTGTGTGTGTGTTTGTGTGTTTGTGTGTTTGTGTGTGTGTTTGTGTGTGTGTGTGCGTGTTTGCGTGTGTGCGTGTTTGTGTGTTTGCGTGTGTGCGTGTTTCCGTGTGTGTGTGTGTGTTGTGCATGTGTTTGGGTTTTGTGTGTGTGTTTTGTGTGTGCTTTGTGTGAGTTTGTCTGTTTATGTTTGTGTGTTTTGTGCGTGTGTTTGTGTGTTTGTGTGTTTGTGTGTTTGTGTGTTTGTGTGCTTGTGTGTTTGTGTGTGTGTGCGTGTTTGCGTGTGTGCGTGTTTGTGTGTTTGAGTATGTGCGTGTTTGCGTGTGTGTGTGTGTGCGTGTTTGCGTGCGTGTTTGCGTGCGTGCGTGCGTGCGTGCGTGCGTGCGTGCGTGCGTGCGTGCGTGCGTGCGTGCGTGCGTGCGTGCGTGCGTGCGTGCCTGCGTGCCTGCGTGCCTGCGTGCCTGCGTGCCTGCGCGCCTGCGCGCCTGCGTGCCTGCGTGCCTGCGTGCCTGCGTGCCTGCGTGCCTGCGTGCCTGCGTGCCTGCGTGCCTGCGTGCCTGCGTGCCTGCGTGCCTGCGTGCCTGCGTGCCTGCGTGCCTGCGTGCCTGCGTGCCTGCGTGCCTTCGTGCCTGCGTGCCTGCGTGCCTGCGTGCCTGCGTGCCTGCGTGCCTGCGTGCCTGCGTGCCTGCGTGCCTGCGTGCCTGCGTGCCTGCGTGCCTGCGTGCCTGCGTGC